TAGTAGTCAGTAGTGTGAATGTTGGACGATGACGAGGTAGATTGGTGAGACAGGATGGTCATGAGTTGGCTAACATGGCCTTGCACTACATCAGGCAGAAACATAACATGCGACACTCATGAAGCGCAGCAACAATCTTAATCATGTCCATGGTCTGCAGGGCTCGGATTCGGGTGGGCACTTGGCCAGGCGAGCTGGCGATGGCTTTCGGGTCTTCCTGAAGAGTATTTCAGGCTTCAGGTATCGCCAGAGGCACTCGGCCAAAGGACCAACCCAGGGCTCCAGATTCTGAAGCGACTCATAAAACCTCCCGCCGGAGCACGCAGTTTGTGCACAACACCACCGGCAGATTAGATGCACGACTGCACCGAGCGGCTGATTCGGTTCTTTCCTTGCGGATGGTCCAGGAAGCTCTTGACTTGAGACGCAAGGCCTTCTTGCTGAATACACTAAGTCACTAAGTGGTCCCGCAACCTTGTGTATATATGTATGTATATGTATACATATATATATATATATTCCTGTATATTTTATTCACGTGTATGTATACATACGTGTATATATATATATATATATATATATTTCTATATATGTATGTGTATATACACGCTTTTATATATATGTACAGACTGTGTAGAGAGAGAGAGAGAGAGAGAGAGAGAGAGAGAGAGAGAGAGAGAGAGAGAGAGAGAGAGAGAGAGAGAGAGAGAGAGAGAGAGAGAGAGAGAGAGAGAGAGAGAGAGAGAGAGAGAGAGAGAGAGAGAGAGAGAGAGAGAGAGAGAGAGAGAGAGAGAGAGAGAGAGAGAGAGAGCCGAGAGAGAGAGAGAGAGAGAGAGAGAGAGAGAGAGAGAGAGAGCCGGAGAGAGACAAACAAAGAGAGGGAGAGAGAGATGATGAAAAGAGGGACACATGTGCATGTGCATCTATGTCTTTATGAGTATGTACGGTTGTACGTGGTTGCATTTTAGATTGAGCGAAATATATAATTTGTGAAGGCTGCGTGGGTGTTATTGACCTGTCTTCAGAAAGTACGGCTTGTCTGCCAGCCGACCTGCACGTATACCCGTATGCTCCGTAGCATCATCATTTGTCTTCTAGTAGTGGTGGTGGTGGTGGTGGTGGTGCTGGTAGCAGTAGTAGAAGCAGCGGGAATAGGAGTAGGAGGAGTACCAGCAGGCATTAGCAGTAGCAGCGGCAGTGGCAGGAGCAGTAGTAGTAGTAGTAGTAGTAGTAGTAGTAGTAGTAGTAGTAGTAGTAGTAGTAGTAGTAGCAGTGGAAGTACTACGGCTACTACTATACATAATAACTCTCATTACTACTACTACTACTACTACTACTACTACTACTACTACTACTACTACTACTACTACAAACAGTATAGTAGTCGTCGTGGCGGTGGAAGTGGTAGTGGCAGTAGTGGTGGTACTGGTAGCGGCAATGGCAGCGGTAGTGGTATGGTAGTGGTTGTCGTCGTCGTAGCCGTCGTAGTAGTAGTAGTAGCAGCTGTAGCAGTAGCAGTAATAGAGGTAATTGTGGTAGTGGTAGAGGCAGTTCCAGCAGCAGCCGGAGTAGGAGACTCAGAAGTAGTTTGTGGTAGTAGTAGTAGTAGTAGTAGTAGTAGTAGTAGTCGTAGTCGTAGTCGTACTGTAGTCGTAGTAGTAGTAGTAGCAGTAGAAGTAGTAGTAGTAGTAGTAGTAGTAGTAGTAGTAGTAGTAGTAGTAGTAATAGTAGTAGTAGTAGTAGTAGTAGTAGTAGTAGTAGTAGTAGTAGCGGTCATCGTCGTCGCTGTCGTCGTCGTTGTCGCCATCGTCGTGGTGGAATACTGCCACTCTAAATCACTAGCAGCATGATACCTGTGCGTTCACCAATAATGGCACCTAAAATCTGCTAAAGCTGAGGATTCCCAACCCGGGCAAGGCACTCATTGCAGTTGTGCATACTAGCGCGAAGTGCCATTGCATGCTGTGTGTCTCTGCCGGACACCAGCGACATCGGTAGTGGCACCCGCGGGTGGCCGCAATCGGAATGTGCAGAATGGTTGCAGGATTTGGTCTGAGCACCGCTTTCGGCCCACGAACTTTTCAGACTGCTTTTATTGATGACTTGGTGGGACAATTGGCATGGCAGGGTCCGGGGTGCCGACCCCTTCTCACGTCCCTATGCAGCTGGGAAGAGCCAGCGTCCAGAAGAGCCGTCTTGTCTGCTCATGGTTTCAAAGGAAATCGGGCACTTCACATGGGCATCGCGCAACCTATATAGACTAGAGCAAAGACAGCTCAGAAATCGTGCCGTAGCGTCCTGATGGAATGACGGCTGCCAAGCAAACTCAGGATACCATGTGATCGGCTCCCTGTGATGGTGTACTCTTCAAGCGAACTCGCTGTGGGTTGCGTCTGACATGACCTTGTGAAAGTCACCAGGGTGTGAACAGAAACTAGACTAGAGGATCATCTTTTATTAAAAACTCGCACACTAATCAGCCAACCACTTCCGAGATCCCAAGTTTGGGGCGGTGTGCTCATGCTGCGAGTCTCCTAGTTCCTGAGTCCAGAGGATGCACCAGGCGGTGCATAGATACGGACGTGGACTAGGTCCTAGGTCCACAGGGAACATAAATGCAGCAATATGGGGGGAGGGGGGGTGGGGCCGTATAGTGATTGGCATAGGATTTGTTGGGGAGTACGATAAAACGTAACCATGACAAGGAGCGCTAAACGAATAACCCTAGCAATTATGTGATAAACGGGGCCTGTGTTGACACACGGTACTCATCTAGTTTTAGGCTTTGGTGTTCTGCAACTCAAAAGTGAAAATGCAAGGGTGAGAGTATGTATTCTCTCTGTCGCTTTGTCTATCTTTCTTTCTTTCGATCTATCTATCTACCTATGCATCTATCTATCGGTCTATCTGTCTATCAACTACCTTGCTTGCTTGCTCCATCTTGCTCCATAAATTTCCTCTCTACCTATTTACCTCACCACCTATCCATCCGTCGATATTTCCATCCATGCAGCATGCATCTTTCCATGCATCCATCTCTCATACCTGTGTCCTATGCATCCATCTATCTATCCATCCACTCATCGAGCTGCATCCTGCAGTGCCCCACCTTGGATGTCGTTTTCTCTCCGGACTCTGTACCTGGAGCCTGCAAAAGCACGAGCTACTGCGAAAAGGTTCTTGCACCTTGGCTGCATCTCCAGTCACGATGTTGGCCTTCCATTGTTGTGGCTGCAGGTGTCTACTATGGTACCTTCTGATGTCTGCTGGCCGCTTGCGCTGCACACGTAGCTTGCATAGAGATCGTAATCTGCATCATGAGCGTCGGGTCTGCTAATTGGTGCGGCTAAGTAGGGTGTGAAGGTGCGATGCCTGGAGATCTGCCCGATTCAACCCAAAGAAAATTGAGTGGAAACCCCCGCAGATTTGAGCATAAGGGTCAGTAGTGAAAGCCACCCTGTTGAAAGGATGGTAAGCCGGTAAGCCTGTAATCATGAGAAGCAGAACCTATAAACCGGCAACTTCGGCGATGAAGCAGTCGCTACAGTGGCGGCTATCACGTCGGCGCTGTCACAGCATCACTGGCTTCAAGCACCTCGTCTGCAAGCAAACTCACACAACCTGCTTGCGAAACTGGCAAGTCAGCAGCCCTTCGTACCAAAAGGAGCAACTCTGAATATGACAAACAAGTAACAGATGACAATGAGCTCAAATATGTAATGTAGACGCTCTGTCTCTGCTGGTCTCTGTCTGTCCGTCTGTCTGTCTGTCTACATGCTCGCATGTGTAGATCTTCGTGTAAAAGCACATGTACACTGCATGTATATGTACTTGATTTCGCAGAAGCATACGCACTCATTACATGCACAGTGAGAAATGCAGAAGGGCATGCATACATATTTCCAGAGATCCAGGCATGTGCAAACATACAAACAGACACACATGCACACATAAACACTTTACATACTTACATAATTACGTACCTTACATAAAACTAATTAGTGCATACATACATACATACATACATAAATACGTGACATACATACCTTCTGCGTAGTCGTGTGTGTGTGTGTGTGTGTGTTGGTGGGTGCATATGTACATGTGTGTATATAATATATATATATATATATATATATATATGCAATTACATATGCATACACACATTATATACAGACACATTTAACAAACAATGTTCGAGTTATTGTAATCATGTACGTATGTGTAGGTGTGTATATATATATATATATATACATAAAGATAAATCCAAGCCACTAGCAGGATCGAGACAGGGACTGTCAGTCGCTGTCATCAAAGGCGGCAAAACGACCACCCCGGGCGGCAGCAAGCCTGAGCACAAAAAGCATCGGTGAGTTTGTGGGCGGGGGGACGGGGGGGAGTCGTGTGACTGCACTCAAAACTGCAGGGTAGGTGCCAGGATACTTGGAACTGTTGTTGTGGCATCTTGGTTGGACTTGGGCCTATGATGGCTGGACATGCGGTGCTTTCTCGCTTCAGCGTCTCGCTGATTCATCGAAAAATATGATGGCACAGACTTCAGAAGGCCACCCGCGATGCAATAATTGCAGGCTGAATGCATGCCACGGCAGTAACTGCCACTACTACTACCGGTGATGGCCAAAAGCGGCGAGGCTATAGGAGAGCCTGCATACCCTTCCTTGCTGCCAGCCTTGGGTGCTACGAGAGCCAATGCGACGCTCTGATCTCATCTTAGGTCGCGGCGCAGGGGCCGAGCTCTTCTGATTCCTTGCGCTGTCAGCAGCTTGGCTCAAGGCAGAGTCTGTGACCATAGCTCAGCAAGCATCTTTTAAAATACGCCGGGCCGTCCTGCCTCACTGTCACGTGTTCTGAGACCGTGAAACAGGGCATAGCCTCCTCAGGAGGCGATGGGCGATTCAGGGAATGAGGCCCAACCGAAAAGATGGGGGGCACCCTTGTGCCGAAAAGAACAAATCGCAGCGACTGCCCCGGGTCAGACTACCCTAGGATTTCTCCTGTACATCCTGAGAAAGAAGCGACATATGCGAGCATTGCCGAAGAAGAGTCACCAGCAAAATCAGATTGATGGCGGCAAACAGGCCTGCTGCGGTCAGCGGGTTCATGACTCGCATCAGCAATGTCTGCCTGCACTTCTCATAAACTTATCAACGACTCGACAAAGGGATTAAGCCTTTATGAGTCTTGTCTATTCATTACTATAGGCATCTTGAACATCTGTCATTTCTGTCTTGCAGCTGTGGAGCATGGCAAGCAGGACCGTGCCCACCGGAAAGACAGCAAAGTACACCGCACATGTCATTAGTTCATTGGCCCAAATTTGATGTCGTTGGCGCCGGGCCTTGCATGCCAGGATGATCCCAAGGCGTCCGACTAAAGGGAAGGCCAGGAAATAGTACGTCAAGTCGATGATGGCCGTTGCAGCCGCGGCCTCCATGTCCTGTGCATGCAAGCGGGCGGCGACCTGGTCCATGTGTCCCCAACTAATTGGGGCAGATACCATCAAGAGCCACAGGTAGGAGAAGGATGCATCGCCGAGAGCGCTGGCCAAAGCGCTGGACACATCGGTGCTGACCAACCTCTCAAAAGCAGACTCAGAGCCGAACCATTTGCGAATGCAAAGGCTGATGACTTCGCGGTCGCAAGCAGCGAAGCTCTCTTCTGTGTGACCCACCGTGCAACAGTGGCACTGGGCGTCTTGGACGCGAAACTTGCGCAACTGGATAAGCATGCTCTCCACAGCTGCGAAGTAGCTCCGCAAGGAACGGACAGCAAAGTGACAGCAAACGATGCAAAGCATTGAGAATATCACCCAGCCAAGTAGAAGGTCGTCAAAGGGACTCGCCAGAAAGCTAAGCGCAAGCAGAAAAGAACCAAGGAATGCAGTTGTGGAGCTCGTTCCAAGCATAGTTGGCCTAATGACCAATCTCTTGGCACGCCCGGAATTTGAAAGCTTGCAGCTGCCGAGATACGCCCCGACCTCCAAGCAGGGTTCGGCCAAAAGCATATCGTTTTTCCTACTGTTCTCATGATAAATGGATACCGAAACCATCTTACGTATGTATATATATATATATATGTGTATATATATATAAGCACATAATTAGAATATATATATATATATATATACACATATATATATATATATACATATACATTAGCAGATGACCACAACGTCTCAGCAGATTAAACCTTGCCAGGATAACCATCTCGGCCTCACAGGGCCTGAGAGACTGTGGCCAGGATCTCGGAATAATAGGCAATAATCGCTCTCTCTCTCTCTCTCTCTCTTTGCTTTGCTTTGCTCGGGGTTTGAGACGGGAGCAGTCCCCCCGTCCCGCGCGAGTGCGCTACCCCATCCATCATTTGGAAAGGATGGGCTCGGTCTATACAAGACTGACTTACATAGCAAAGGGTGCTCCGAAACTGTGTTCCCCGTATGGGGTGTTTGTTTGCTCGCACCGGCACTGTTAAGAATCTGGTATGTAAAAGGCTGTGTGTACGAGGGGAAAAACGTGCTTGAATTAGCGGCCATGCAAGTCTTATGCAAGCTGTTGGCACACCATTCTAGGGTTCATGGAAATGAGCGGGTGCCCCTCAACACAAATTAAAAGGTAAGTTAGGTGGCTTCAGAGTGTCGCGTTCACTTTTTCCGCCGGTGGCAGAGGTGTTGTTCACGGATCCGGGTGTCCCCGGCGAGTTGCATGGGTGTACATCAGACATATGTCCCAAAACTTGAAGCCACTGGTGCCTCGCCTTTGTAGTCGGCGCTCACTTCTCTCACCTGTGCCTTCGAGGTGCTGCAGCTGTGTCGTCGTCCTTTGGTCCTGGGTCGTCGTTGGCACTTGGTGTCCTGTGCCTCCGCGGTGCTGCAGCTGTGTCTGGGTCGTCGTCGGCCACGGGTGTCCTTTGCCTTCTCGGTGTCCCTGCCACTATCACGTTCATGCCGGGCTTCGTGTCCCCCGTCCAGTCTAGTCCCTCTTTAGCGTCTGGTTGAGGTCGCCTGCGAGGGAGAGGTGGTCGAGCAGCTTGATCTCGCTGTTGCCCTTTTGAACGATGTGGTTCTCCCCCTGGTGTCGCGTCTTCACTCTGAGTTCCTCCATCAAGTGGCATGTTGCCCCTCCCTACTACCGGGCCACCTCCGGAGAGGGCCGGTTCAGGACAGGTCTTCGCGACCCTTTGGGCACTTGAGAGCCCGACATGTTACGGCGAAAGGCCTCAAGCCACCCCCCGCCCTCGGCACGTCCACCCCCCAAGCCCACAGAGATAACCCTCTGTGGTCTCGAGGGGCCGGCCGAAAAGCGACACGCTCCGAGGAGCAGGCAGGCGAGCGACTTGAGCCAAAATGGCTTCTCTCTCTCTCTCTCTCTCTCTCTCTCCCCCTCTGCCGTAGTACTCCCATATAATCATGATACCTATATATATATATATATGTTGGAAACCACTTGTGTGATTGTTGAGGTCCTTATAGTAACTGTAAATGGGTGCACTGAAGTTATCCATAATTTGGGAGCTTCGCAAGAGTTCAGCCGATCTGCAATATGATAGTTGGAATCGGTAGCAATTCGACAAGGCTTTCGGAGTAGATTCCAGCATAATCATCCAACCAGGAACCACGGAACAGAAACCCTGTCAATGCATTCGGACCACGGATTACATAGGCGCCATGTTCAATCACATGCTAGCTGCCGCTAGTGTAAGCAACCGATGCCCGTTCAAGCTTTCTTTGGCAAACCCCTGCAGTGAGCCCCGCCCAACGCTTTTGAAAATGTTTGTAGCGACGGAGCCTCGAAGATGCACCAAAGCCTCTGAACAAAGGTCTCATCCCAGAAAACGTGTAAGGACTCCGAGCTCTGCAGGAAAGCGCCCATGCTGAGGAGTGCTTCTGCCTTCAAGCTTGGATCTGCTTGGTTGATGCAAATCACATCGACAAAAACCAGGGTGCGACGCTGCCAGCAGAATAAGGTCATGACTGCAGTGAGAGTACCACCTAGCACTCCCCAGACGCTGAACAAGTAGGATGTCCTTCCTAATTTAAGGAAAGGTGCCCTTTCATAGCCGGGAAGGTAGCCCGCGACAAAAAGACCTGCAAGAAGGAGAGACGCCAAGGACCCCAAACAAATGGCTGCAAAGCCATTCTTCTGCACCATCATTGTCGAAATCTTCCGAGTGGTGCTTCCATGCCAGGAGTGAGACCAAAACTCTTGAATCTTGTCTGCTGAAAAGCTCTTGCGGTAATATTCACTACTTCGAAACCGAAAAATCCTGCCGAAGCCCCTTAAGACCTCATAGCACGGCGTGGCTCGGACGATGCCCTCTCTTGTGGCACGGAAGTTCGCAATATGCTCTGCAGCTCGCTCGTACGCGTCCGAGAGGGGAATTCCAACGGCTGCCTGATTCTCAGTTGCTCCGTCCGATTCCTCGTCCGTGCCCTCGACGAAAAAGGGCGAGGGGTCTGCAGACGAACGCTCGTTCGCGACTGGAAGATCCGCGGCTTCAGGCTCCATGGGAGCCGATGGACACCCGCTACACGTCACTGGGAGACATGACGCCTGAGGGCTGCATCCAAAGCCCAGGGCTTGTAGAAGATCATCGGAACAACAGCAACCACAGTGACACAGTGGTCATGAACATCATGAAGCCTGTAAGAGTTCTAGCATCACCGCAAGTCGTGGACGGCGCTTCTGCATAGCACATCTCTCAGGAAGATTACTGAAGGGCAACTCTGACTTGTCGAATGGACATTCATGAACATGCCGCGCAAATGAGTAGGAAAGATGTCGACTGCCTGTACCAGAAACAATTTTAGACTTCAGGCAGCACCTACCCTGCAAGTATCTAGTGGGATCACGGTGTCCTCCGAGATGACTTCTACCGTCGCGGCAAGACACACGTTTGTTTCGCTTCTAATGATTCTATTGTCAAGTCGTGTTGAAATGTAAGAACAACCCACAGCTGGCTCCTCTGCTGCGCTCGCTCGAAGAGTGCCTGCAGACAAACACACTAAAACCCGAAGAAGGCAGAACACTCCCTCGCTAATAGGCCTACAGATGCAGATCACTTCGCTGGTGCGAAAGGCTCGGCAAACGCAAGCAGTGAAGCCTCGAATGATGAACAGTCATAATCTGCGCCCATGCTGGAGTTTTGGAGTGTGATCTCTTGAGCACTTTCCTTTTCCATAACTAAAGCCCCCACGGGCCAGGCTCTTGCACGTCCCAACCCTCCCTCCCCCACCTTAGCTTCTTGTTCAGAGAGTTTGGGTCCAGTGCGCTTCTGCTGGACGACCTGGTGCAGGGTGGAGAAAAAAGGCTGAGCTCAGGGATATAACTACAACAGCTTGTGCTTTCATAGCATTAGCACATGCAGTTTTTTTGCTGTGATCGTACACGAGGAGTCGCTCTGTGTTGTCTTGCGAGCCGTCAGAGTAGAGGAGCAGGAAGCTGCCCCGGTAACCTGTACTTCCCAACTTCCGATATTCAAAAAGGCGATGTGTAGGCAGCCGAACTTGCAACGACGGATGACCTCCTCAGCTGTCTTCTTGGCGCCCGATGCCCTTAGCAGCATCTGACTAGCGGCAGACTGAAGGGCTACGTCTATGTGGCGCTGTTGCAGTGCGAGAGGATCGAAGCTCAGAGCCAGCCAAAGCTTACGAAGGGCGAAAGATATCGCCATTGGCTTACAGCAGCCTTGGCTTCGCACCACACTGTTCGAGGAACCAGCCCTTGAGGCTCCTAACTGGCCACAATGCCGCAAAGTGGCTTGGGAGCTGCGCCTTGCCTTGCAGGGGATCAAAAATTTAGGGGCCTTAATAACTAGTTTAGGGTTTTGGGGCCCATCACCAAAATAGTATTGGTAATTGTTTAGGCCACCAAATTAAATCACAGGATCATGTTGCCGGTGGTGGCACGATTTCTTGTTCTTGCCCGAAGCCTTCATTTTCCCGCCGACAGACTGCGAAGCAAGCTCCCAGACAACGAGCACCCCCACCCCTTTTTCCGATAGCCGCGAATCGCTAAGACCTTCTTCCTGTCAGCCGTCCCCGTAAGCTAAAACCTCCTGACTCGGAGTATGTAACCAAGCGACTTCTTCTTGTTGGCCTCGACCGCTGCCTTGCTCATCCTTGGGTGACTTATAGAAGCCTTACGGGAACCTTAGTCCAATTCCTAAGGTAGGCAGAAGGCACTTCGGGTCGGCGCCTTCAGTCGAGGGCATGGTCTGGGAGTCTGGCATATGCGTCATGCTGTGTCATGCTATTACAGAAAAAGCCCTGTGGCTAAGAAGACCGCAAACAGGAGAATTACGAAGCATCCTGCCATGTCTAGTAGGCATAAGTTTTCCTTACAGGTATTTGTTCGTACATGCGTGAAGACAGCGAACACATGCATTGCAACGCAGTTATTACTCACATGCGGCACCATAGTGCGGCACCATGTACCATCGCAAAACAGTATCGTGGACTTTCCGATGAGTCCACCACAGGCCTTGGGGATCGGATCGGGATTACCTCACCTGACTGGGAAAATCACAAAGCACCCTAGAGAACTGAACACTGAGCCGACTCCGCCCAGGAAGCTGCAGCAGCAACCCTAAGCCCCAAATACCCCCGAAACCCTAAACCCCCACCCCCTTTTTGCCACTGGACTCAAGTCTAGCCAGGCTACGACCCACAATCCCCTCTTTTGCCACTGGGCTTGGGGCTAGCCAGATCCTTTGCACCCTAAACCCCCTGAACCCTAAACCCCCCGAAACCCCGAATACCCCCTTTTACACCTGGACTGTGCATATGCCAGGAACCGAGGCGCCGACTGTGCTGTGGACTCGTGCCACACGGCTACCCCAGCTTGCAAAAACTGATCAACTGGTATGTAATTACGGCAAAAACATGCTCCGAGGTGTGGAAGCAAGCTTTCCACGCTACTCGCCCGAATTTTGCAACAAATACCCCCTGAACCCTAAACCCCCGAAACCCCAAATACCCCCTGAACCCTAAACTCCCCGAAACCCCAAATACCCCCTGAACCCTCAATCGCGATTGTCCCTTGCAGCCATGCCGCTCCTTTCGCCTCGCTTGCTCTGCCTGCAGGGAGCAGAGAAGGCTATCGGGGCCTTTATAATTACCTATAGTTAACCAATAAGTTATATATAATTAGGAGCCTATAAGGTAACCCCAAAAAGGAACTTCAATGGAGACTACAGGTAGAATACTCTTCCTTTACAGGGGTCGAAAAGGGTTACTATAAGGGATCTATATTATTAGGCTTCTGCGTATCACTACGCCTCTGTCTGGGTCTCAAACTGGGACAAGCCGGGCATCTGAGCAACGATAGTACACCAGATTTAGTCACATTTATGCAATGTAGAACTTTGGTTTTTGCCTCCTGCATTCGAGTCCTTATCTGGTAGAAGACCAAGATGGGAATTCTAATCAGAACCAATGACATCAGAATACTTCGAGAAGCACCTTCGTCACCGCAGCAGCAGGTCAGGTCAGGCCCTCAATAAAGACACAGACTTCGGCATGTGTGTGTTTTGCATATCAGTGTTCGCGTAGTCACTTCATGCACGAAGCCTTAATGGCTAGTTTCAACAACAACAACAACAACCACAACCACAACCACAACCACAACCGCGGCATCCACTGCCCGCATCACGAAGAACTTGAAATGAAAGGCACAGCAGCCTCGCGTTAAAAACCGCACATGCTTTGCAAGCACGGTCTTGAACAAGATGAAAGCCTAGGAACGAAAAAACTGCCAATAAAACATAGGGTCATGTGACATCAGCCTCAAAACGATCCGGTTTGACACATGAGTCATAACCAACGTGTGCTGGCAACGGGCTAGTAAGAAAGCTGCACCTGCCCGAAAAGACAACATGAATTGTCGTCGTTGGCGCGTACAAGTGTAGGGGCCATTGCAGAGTAAAAGCTTCCGAACACTTTGATCACTCTGATCTCTTCGCACAACTTAGCAGAGTCGTTCCGGCGACCATCGAAAGAAGGCAAAACCACAGACCTGCAAGCGAGAGAGCCAAACAAAGCCATTGCTTGGAACAACCTTTCGTGAGACATAACATACTCGCCCATATTGCTGAACCGCATAGTCCTTGTGACAACATAGCAGGTCAAGGCAACATCTCTAGGTCAAGTCTCAGCCCACAGGACAAACAATCAAACAACGCCTACCTATGTTGTCCATTGTAGTTCCTGCTTGCGGTTGCCTGATAGGATGTTAAATACATACTTGGCTAAACCAAAACGAACGACAACGGAGACCATAGGCAACTTATTGGCTCCCAGGGGTCTGATTACTCACCGGTTTTGCCGGACATGCTGCCTTCTTCGCCTCCACTTCTTCGTCCGAAGCTTTGGCCTTTTTCCTTGGGACTAAGGCTCGAGTTAAGGGTTTCGGGTTCGGGAACATGGATCAACAGGTAATGTGTTGGCATGCAGTGTTTACATGACTTCACCTCGTGAACCTTTGTACATCGAGCTGGGCTGACTTAGAAACCTTTCGGAGAACAACACTTGATCTCACTGGCCAACATCCCGAAACCCCGAGACCCCAGGCCCTACTCTTCATCCTCTCCTCTAGATCTGCAGGTCTCAAAATATCTTCCAGATCCGACAAGCGGGGCAGGTCTGTTTGCTGCAAAAATATGCCTTGACGCTGCTTGTTGACAAGTTCAGCGACTCAACGACACAACAGCCAAGGACGTCACAGTTATCCTGCCATCAAATATCCTTACACTGGAAGGCTGTCGCGAAAGATGTGCTGCCGTGCGGCTGCTTTTTGATCAACATCGGCTCCTCTGCGGCCTTCCAGCAGATTGGCTGTGAGGGATGTTATAGGGCTTCGATACGTACTGTAGCTTCTATTACAACATTTGTATTGCGACAAACGGCTTCCTGATCTAAGTGAAGTCAACTGTTACCAATGCAGACGATACGAGCCACACCTTCGAGTCACGCAAGCAGAAGCATCTCGCAAAGAGGGATACTCCCCAAAAACAGCTGTGCCTTCATGTCTTCAGCCGCTGGGGATTCGTCGCTAAGGTTGCTTCTTGACTTGGCCTTCTTCTTCAGCGTTCTCCTTAACGGCTAAAGCTCGCAGCTTGAGGACTAAGGTGCAACCCGAGCGCTTCCCCATGCCGTAGCCCAAGGATGCCCAATAATCATGCATATGCTAACTTCAAATCCAAGAAATAGCACTGCATGAGGCTTGTGCAGGGTTCGGTCCATGATACCGAGCTGCTTGGATGGGCCGCCTTTGTTTCTTGGGCAAATGCCTTGGCTCGGACGGGGTGTGGGCTTGATCGGATGTTGCCTCTGCGTGCAAAACAATCTCGGCGGGAAGCATCTTATAATAGTATAGTACTATAATAATATAGTACTATAGTAGTATTATGGTACAATAATAGTATAGTATGATAGTTTCCACACGTCCCTGCCTGGCAAACGAGGGCTTCAGCGAAGGCGAACAGTCGGGAAACCCGCTGCTCTTTCTCA